CCCCCCCCGGCCCCCCTGGAAACGGCTCTGGCCGGCAAAAAGGGGTCCATTTTGGTCTGGGGGGTCACGCCAAAAATTCCCCCCCCCACTTTTTTCGAACGTTCCAGCCCCTTTGGGCTGCATGCCATTGGGCCCCCTTCCCGGGGTGCGGCGGACGTCACCGGCCTCCTTCGAAACGGCTGGGTCGGAGCGGGTTCGCCCCCCGATCGGACATGGGCTTCGGGGCCCCAACGCGATGCCCACGGGCGATCGACCCCCTGCGCAATGGCGTGCGCAATGTCCGCCGTCGCCTGCAGGCCGGACGAGCAGAACCGGTTCACGGACGACGCCGCCGATGTGTTGGGGAAGCCGGCGGCGAGGGCCCGGCGCGGAGCTTGTAAGCGGCCTTGCCGTCGGAGACCTGGTTTCCCCCCACTCGTCAGTACACTGATGCCAGGCTGCGGGGAGAAGCAGGATAGAAGGAGGTGGGCAGAGAGAAAGAGGGGCGAGAAAACATACATTGCCCATGCGAATGTCCTCCACGAGAGCCGGGTCGAGGTTGGAGCGCTCGCGGACCTGGTCGAGGAGCGCAAAGATCATGTACTCGAGCGAGGTGTCCTTGAAACCACCTTTGCGAGCCTTGGTCAGGGGTGTGCGCGCAGCGAGGGTGATGACCACATCGTCGGGGTTCTTGGCCTGGCTTTGGGTCTGTCAGCTGAGAGCCGGGAGAGGGGAGGGGATGAGCATCAATTGGGGGATGACAAGAAGGAGGGAAAAAAAAGGACGTACATCTGGTTCAGAGCCGAGCCCGGGTTCAGGTGCTTCACGATGGAGGAGATGCGTTCCATGGTGCTGACGTTGATGTGGATGATGATATGGACGTCGGTTGATGGGGGGGGGGAAGATGGCAGGTTAGGGGAGGGAGCAGGAGGAGTGAAGGAGGAAGGAAGCAAAGGAGGCAAGAGATGGGGAAAACGTTTCAATAAGAAGCCGTGACATCGTCGAGAGAGAGGGGGCCAAGGACCTGACGGTGGCACGCCTCGGGAGTCGAGTCGACGTCTGGCGGCGTTTGCAGCTGGGGTGTCTGGATGGGGTTTGCCGCAGCCCATGAGCCGAGGCATCCAAAGGTCCAAGGGCAGCCGCAGCCTGGGGTAGCCATGACTAAGGAGAAGGGGGGGCGCGGCCCACCCCTCCTATTCCCCCACATCCATCAGGTGACTAAGCCGAAAGAGCCCGGCCCCAGAGGCAAGGATCGTGAGCGAGACACGGCCGATACCCGAACAGATCTTCCCGTCTCTGCGCGCGCGCGCCAAACCTCTGCACGCTGGAATGCCCTGACGTGACTTGGCCGAGGTGCAATGTGGCAGTGTCGCAGTGTCGCAGTGCGTGCCAGGCGAAAGCGCACGTGGATTCTGAGTTGACCAGTGCATCCATTCAACAGCCCTATTGGTAGGTAGTATGTCCAAAGAAAAGAATATAGACCTGGCCCAGTGTAACAGTTTATCCATCTCGACCAAATACCCCGAAAACAAAAAACGCCTGGTTCGGTCCCAAAGGTCTATCGTGAAAACATTACGCAGTCTGTGCCCAAATCCGCATCTTTTGCATGCCGCCACGTCTTCTACATGCCGCCACACTACGCACCAAGCAGCCACATCGCAGGCACGACACTGGCTGCCATCACGCCCAGAGACACCCGAGCCACACCGGCCGCGCTCTGCGGCTTGACACCCTTCGCCTGGAACCCAAGGTACCAGGAGCCAATGTCCGTCAGCTCACCAGCATTGTTGAGGAACGGCACGTTGGGGCCGACGTTGCTGGCCGCAGAACGGAACGCGCCGTAGTACGAGTAGAGCCCAATGTCCGGGACGCGCTCAAAGTAATCACTCGTCGTGTTATAAAACTGCTCCGTCGGCTGCAGGTCCTGGTGCGCATAGGCGTACTCGGTAACCCAGATGCTGGTGTTGGGGAAGCTGCAAGACACCTGTTAACATGCGTCCGTGACCGTGCGCTCTTCTCGTGTGTGCGTCTATGTGTGTGTGTGTGTGTGTGTGGAACATACTTCTCAATGCGTTCGCCAATGTGGCTCGCCAGTCCCTCAAAATTGTCGTACCAATGAACGGGCAAAAAGTCATACGTGCAATTCTTCTTCGTGTCCTCGCCGACGCTGATAAAATCGGAGCAGTTGCCCAGGAACTGATGCAGCCACTGCAGGCCGTAGGGCTGGCCCGTCATGGCGGGCAGGCCGACCTTGATGCCCCTCTCCTGGAGCGGGATAAAGTTGGCGACCCAGGCGCGAGCGGCGAGGGCGGGCGGCGTGTCGCTGCCACCGTACTGGAAACCCATGTCGGGCTCGTTGAAGCCCAGCACGCGCGTGATGTTGCGGCCCTCGTCGTCGATCATCCGGATGACGGCGTCCTTGAACTCCGTCTTGTTGAGGTCCTTGTGGTCGACACCCCACATCATGGGCACGTACTCGAGCTGCTCCTGCGTGTAGTCTGCGAACGTCGGGCTCGGCCGAAAGCCATAGTTGTAGTACCAGGAAATGTCGGAGCCATCTTGCATCCAAATCTTGTGGTCGCTGGGGAAGTCCGTCTCGGCAATGAAGCAGAGGCCACGCTTGTTCGAGCTGCTCTGTGCTGTCGACAGTGGCAGTAGCGGGAGCAGCGCCAGCAGACCGACAGCCCGGGCGATCATGGCGGGCGGTTTGTCGGGTATTGTGGATAGCAAATCAAGGAGAAAAAAGACTGTCGTTTCGAAACGGCGCGCAGACGACGGTGAATGAGGAGTATTGCTCGAGATCGTGGCAGTGTCGAAATGCGGCACAAGGTAATGAATGTCGGCGTCGTAAGGGGGGGAAGGAGATTGAGCAAGCTTGACGAATGTCGCTGGATGGGGGAACAGGCGATGAACGAGTGGACGCGCAATATATTGAATGCGCTTTATATGCAGGTCGATGA